ATCCCTCCCCCCTCCCTTTAACCCTCTATGTAGTAAGATAATTTTGTAGTAGAATAATCTCATGTAGTACTAGTGAATACACCTGAATTATTTATGTTCAAATTTGAATATCATAAGCAATTTCTAAGTTTAAGTTATCAGCATAGAATAGAATAATAGATTGACTGACTGCATTACACAAGTAATTCAGGAGGTCTTGATAAGTGCAGATTAAGTCATATGACATCTAGCTAAAGTGGAATTGTAGGGGGAATCGAGAAGTATAGATTTGTACTGAAATTTCTGTCTATTCCAGTCGGATTCCTGTCAATTCCGGCCGGAATCCGCGGAATCCAGTAGGAATCAGTGGAGGAATGGAAAGTATTGACTTAGTAGGGCACCTAGAGTCCTTATGTATTTTCATAGTACATTTAAAATCTAGATGATCTGTTCTGCGCGCATGCACCTTTATTTTCTGAAGAGTCCCATTTGCAGTTTTCATTGTCTGTTTTAACTCAGAAAGGACTTGTCGTGTTTTTAATAAACTAATCGTCATCGTCGTCTGCTTCCATTCCGCCGACGTCATCTTGAACGCTTTGGTCCAGATTTACGCCTTCGAAGTAATAGTCATTCGAATTGACGCGATCTTCAAGTCCTTCTTCGTCTAATTTGTCTAAGCTTTCCTTGTTGAGGTCTATGATTTCGTAAATATCGTTGGGAAGCACTATCTTAGCCCTTGCAAAGTAAGGAATAATTCTAAAGGCCCCAACTTTATTTTGAAACACAGCTCCATCCATTTCCGCCACAATGTATGAACCTCCCTTGGAACGCCTGATTATAATCATGGGGCCTAAATATCGTGGTTTCATTTTTCTATTCAAGGACGACTCAACGCTCGTGTTTCGGACAAGAACCAAGTCCCCTGGTTTGTAGATTCTACCAACGATTTTATTCATATGTTCAATTTCATACTTTGCTACTCTTTTCATTTTCTCTAACGTCACTCTTCTTCGCATATCTGCAACGTGAACCCTGTGTTTGGCCAACGCTCTTGCTCTATAGCCAATAAGCTCTTCTGTAGTTAAAACACAATCTGGTAATTTAACTAACCATGTAGCTTCTTGCATGTCGAGCGGAATCAGCAGATGCGCACCAGTAACCATGAAAAACGGCGAGCAACCAAAACGCTTTCTAACCGTGATTCTATCTGCCCATAGTACCTGCCAAAAGAACCAATACCATTTAGCAAGGTTCTGTGGTCCACAGCATTTGGCTAACATTTGTACTACATCCCAATGAGGTCTCTCAATTCTTCTGTTTGCCTTAGAATTGTACGCAGAAATCTGTATTCCCTTTATTCTGTACTTTTCTTGAAGCCATCTTACGGCTGCAAGAAATACAGCACCATTATCTGTAATAATTTCGGATAGGCAGCCCCATCTGCAAATTACTTCTTCAAATAGCCAGAGTGCTATAGTCTGAGCTGTTTCTTTCTTCAAAGGTCTTCCTTCCATATAACTGGATAGAGCGCATCTTCCATGTACAATGTATTTACATCCATTAGATGCAGGTGTTACGTGAACAGTATCCGCATGAAGGACTTGAAAAATAGAGGGTGTATGAGTAACTGTTGGAGGAATTTCTATAATTCTTTTGGACCTTTCTTGGCAGCGATGACATGTTTTCACATACCACGTAATATCGCGTTCAATGTCTGGCCACCAGAATCTTTCTCCTAACATCATTCTCGTAGCATATGCACCTCTATGTCCAAGGCTATCATGAGCTGCACGCATCATGTACATTCTATGTGATTTGTCTACTACCAGTTTGTGTCTGGAATCTATGCTTCTTCTGTATAATCTGTCTTCTTTGTCAACAAAGAACCCTTTCGCAAATCTTGTGAATGAAATATACTGTTTGTCCGTAAGGTTTTCAGGTCGAACATTTGGATTTTTCGACCAAATTCATACTAACGGCAGATAATCATCATGAGCTTTTCCTAGGAAAGAGCGTCCTTCCTCAGGATATGGATCCTCTGTTTCCATTTCATCATACCTGGCTCTCAAATCTGGGATTAAAGTGGATACTACGAAGGTTCTTAAGAAGTCCTTCTGTTCTTCACTACAAGTCAGGTGATTATTATCATTTTCAATCTTTTGCTTGATGCTTTCTGCAAACTGCTCACTCATTGCTTCTTCTCTATCAATTTCATCATAAAAGTCATCAATTGATAATGCCAATGATAGAACATAACCTCCATGAGTATCTATTTGGTCCTTAAAGTCTTCAAAATCCAATGGCGGTTCACCACCATTAGGATCTGCTAATACTTCTAGAGTGCCAACTGGTTCGTCCATGTTTTCTTCTGAATTTGAAAACACTTCATCTCCAGGTTGCCAATCTCTTCTCGAAAGTCCATCCGCTGCAAAGGTCTTTCCTTTTACATGTTGCAACGTAAAGTGGAACATGAGGATTTTGTCAATCCATCTATTTACAGTAGCATTTGGTCCCATGCCAGGATTAGTTAACATTCCAGCAAGGTACTTTGCATCTGTTTCC